CACAAATTCTAGCTGTTTCAGCTCTCTAAATTTTTATCTTATCTCTCAATTACACTGTCAGTGCTCTGCTTGGGTTATTGCTTTCCACATCATGATCTGAAAAGTGCCCCAGGCAGAAAGCTGAATTTCACTTCTTTGCTTTCATACTCCTAAGGATTACAATCTGTTGTAATGTAATGCCTGGAAACAGTTGTTTCACTTTTTTTTCCCTCCAGTTTTCTAGTTGTCAACAGTGGGAAGGCAAGTACAGTTACAGTTACCCCTCATTCTGGAAGCATAAATTTATTGTTGGGGCGCCTGGGTGGCTCAGTTGGTTGAGTGACTGACTTTGGCTCAGGTCATGATCTCATGGTTTGTGAGTTTGAGCCCCGCGTCGGGCTCTGTGCTGACAGCCCAGAGCCTGGAGCCTGCTTCTGATTCTCTGTCTCCCTCCCTCTGTCTCCCTCTCTGTCTGCCCCTCCCCCACTCATGCTCTGTCTCTGTCTCAGAAATAAACATTAAAAAATTAAAAAAAAAAGAAACATAAATTTATTGTAAATGCTATGCCTTAGGAATAATGTTCTTGGCCATTAAATATTTAATTAAACCAAATAAGCTGTCCCTATCAACATCAAGAAACTAGGAAACTACCTGAAACTAATTTCACCCACTTCTAATTGGACAATGTGCCTCACATACTCAACCTTGATTTCTTAGGCAAAACCTAGGACTATCAGTCTAGCCCACACTGTCATATAGTGGAACTGACTTCCTGTTCAGCGGTGACACTGGACAGTGGTTGTACCACAAATCAGGAAGTTTCATGATGATAGCCAGACTCCAGAATGACTCCTGGCTACCTGGTTAATTAAGTTCCCCAGGCTGTAGGGAACCACATATAAGATGCCTGGTGACAACCACATGTTACCTGGGAGATGACTCCCCACCTTAGACAGCCTCCATGTGACAGTCTACCTAGGGCTTGGTGCATTGCATGGCAGCCTACTCATCAAACCCTGAACTATTTCCATTTATTATTTCTGCCCAATGGGTAAAAATAGATCTGCTCACATGGACCAAACTGTAGTGTGCTTTTCTCAGGGATATACATTCCCATGATCATTTTTTGGATGATAAATGAGACTCTCGCACATTTCTATGAGGCACTATCTTAATTAAAAAGCCACCTTAAGATAACACTATTGAATTATATGATTTCAAATACAAGGTCTCTGTGTACTGCCATGTTTCTTTTTTGTGTTGGTATTTTACCTCCTTCCTCTCTTACGAGAGCACAGTAAATTCTCAGTAGTCTTAAAAATGGAACACTATGTTCAGAACCAGCCCATTTTTTAGAAATTTATCAGGAGGCAGAAAAAGGAAATAGGAACCAAGGGGGAAAAAAAAAACTGTGAGAATTAGACAAGTAAGACGTATTCATTCTCTCTTTAGGCCAAGTCCCATCTGGCCCTTACAGAACTTGTACCATATCTTCCAGAAGCTTCCCTCTCTCCTCAGCCCACAGAGAGGGACAGAATTGCAGTCACTTCAGTGGATATGGGATTGCCTTGGGAAAATCCAAGTACTGTGGCATTTTTGAAGAAAGATGTAGCTCATCACTTAGGAAAAGTAAGCTTTTTCTAAATCACACCAGAAGAGGTAATGGATAAAGATAGTCTTTTGAAGGAAACATTTGTTAGGTATAAGGCCATCTATCTGTTTCTATTATTGGCAGCTAATTGCTGACCCGACTATTACCTTGGAAAGTTCCTTATGGCTCTTGTATCAATTGTAACTAAGTAGAGAACACGTTCTATTAGCCACTGGGAATGAGGTGCATTGTTAGAAGCCAGGGCTTTGAAGTCATTGGGTGTTTTTCACACATACAGGGTGGTGGGTACCCCATGTGTTTCTGCTTCACTCTTGTGATAGCTGACTGAGATCACAACATTTCCAAGAAACATCTCAATGGACTGAGCATTCATAATACCCAAGAGCAATAGTTCTTACCCTGGAGCATTCTAGAGTCACCAGTGCCTGGCCGCTGGTTCACATCAATGAAGTCAGACCCTGGCAGTGGTCCTTAGGGTATTCATGTTTTTGTTAAAGGCCTCAGGTGATTCTAATAAGTAGCCAGGATTAAGAACCATTCTCTTAGACCAATAATTCATGTGAAATTGGAGAGCAGAGAATTATATGAATAGAGCTTTAGTGGTTTTCTTCATCTTCTGCTTAGGCTCCTTTTGCCTCCCTTGACATTCTTTTTGCCCTACTTAAATCTACCCATCCCACTGTGTCCTCATCAAATTTCTATTCCTGAGAATAATCCATCAATTCTGAAAATAAAACGCTCAAATAGGATATGCTCTACCGTCTAGGATTTTCCAGTGATTTAATTATCTAATTACTGGAGCCGGCTGCCAAGCACAAAAGATTTCATTCAGTTTCACTATTTTATAACACAGTTCAAAGAACATTTGAATTTCTAATTTAATTTTTGTTCTTTTGAGACTCTTCTGCAGAGTTTCGTATATCTCTAATGATAGTTCCATTATTGGACTTATAATCACTTTGGGGTTACACTTCTTTTTTAGTGTATAATACATATGCCAAAGGAGAATTGGTGCTGAGATAGCTTAATTATTCTAAGCTGTTTTTGTCTTAAAGAGACTCCCCTGACTGAAAAGACAGAGGCTTGACAGGGAAGAAAGCTGATAGGGACACAGGAAACACAAAGATGAGGTGGAAACAACAGCCGTCAGGTTAGGTAACAAAGTGTTTAGCCTTCCCTATGTGTCTGCTCCTTAGAACTGCACAAACTTCAAAGCTCAAGAGCATGTCGGCTGCTTGTTCTTTATACCCCCCGAAGCCAGAAAAGCTGAGCAATTCTGGGGCAATAAAGGAACTCGCATGGTTAAGATAGCATTCCCAGACCTTGACCAAAGAGTTGCATTGTTTGAGGAGCTATGATTCCAAAACTCAGCAGCCACAGTTCAAGGTCTGCAAGGAGTGGCGGGTTGTGGGCAACTACCCCGACCCCCACAGCCAGCCAGGAAACCAAACAATGCCAACTGTCACCGGGGTGATGCTACAGCCACACACATCAGCCTCCATATCAAAGGTGCCACACTTCCGAGGTACTTATGCTAAAGCAATTCCCCCTCCTCCCCCATACCAACAAATGCTCACTTTGGAAAGCAGTAGGTACCACCATACAAACAATATTTAGGAATTTTTTTGCCCCGAGGGTCTAGGAAGGAGCGATCATTTCCAAATGGCCAGAAGGTGGCGCTCACAGGCAGAAGCAGCGTGAGAAGGGGCTTTACCCTCCCCAAATCCCAGGTAAGATTAACCTGGGACACAGCAGACCCATTCTGGCCTGCACATTTGTCATTCGACCTGCAGGGTACTAAATAATTGGTTTTTAATTACTTTCCAACACTTTTAGAATGAATACGAATAAATCATACGAAACCTGTGTTTCCAGAGAACACTGGACTCTAATTCTGTCAGGTTAAGAGCTGGCTGGAGCTGAGTGGTGACTGACCTTGAGAAGGGCCAACTTGCCGTTGTCCCTCCTCCATTTCACTTGTTAAGTTACTGCCTGGACACTGTAGGCAGTGGACTTTGTCACCTGGCACACACCCTCAGCCCAAACCATGCACTCCACCACCACAAAGTGTATTTAAAATTGCAAAGTGAGGCGAAGTTGACGCAGAGGATGAGGAATGTCACGGATGACGTGACTCAGAAGAGCACTGAAATGACTTCGTCTGGGATGTCTAAAGTATCTGGGACATTGCCTGGGAGACAGAGTAGCCTCTGGAGACCCGAGCACTGAGCAGTGTGGTCTGTTCTGACGGCCCTCACGGTCCAAGGTGGGGCCCCCGGGCAGGGCTCTCAAGTCAGCTGCCTTTCTGTTTGTTCCTCGTAGATAGAGGGCGAGAGGAAGTCGCCACCTTAGCTTTAATTAGGTGGTGAAAAATGTAGGGCTCAGGCCACGAGTGAGCTGAAGAGAGACACAATCTGGGGCGTTGAAGCCCTTTCCACGTTGCAACTCCCTTACCAGCCCAGGAAGTTCCGTCCCCCTGGCTACTGACGATGCCATGCTCCCTGTGGCTGCTCAAGGTTTCCCAGTGGGTTGACTTCTACCAAGGTTTAAATGAGCTTCTTGAAGTCAGGGAAGATGCCTGGGTACTAAGCCAGCACTATATCTGCGATGATTAACCCACCACAAAAGTAGGGGCATGAGGCAGACACGTGAACCATCTCACAGAGATCTCACAAAGCGATCTCATAAAGAAATGCCCAGCCCCAGCCCCTGATACTCGGAACCACCAGATACGCTATTCTGCTTCAATGGATCGATGGGACCGATTCACCAAGGTTAGTGACACAAAGGGTCGTTTTCCCTCTCTGCTGATTCCCAGGCGGTTCACATATTCCCGAACAATGGAAAAAGGGAAGGAAAATATTACGGAACACACAATCCAAATAAAATGCAAATGTTTGCCTCAACAAATCTTCCACGAGGGCTTCTTTTCCTTACGAATTCATCTTCTAGTCTAAACTCGTATTTCTAAAGACACCATAGTCGCTTGCAAAAAAAGCTTAGCTTTGTGCATACTCGTTGAAGAGAAGCCAGGAGCCGAAACCCTGCAAGCAGTAAGTCTTAACTGGCTATTACAATGCTCCACAGGCTCCTCTTTCTAGCCCTCCTCCAAAAGACAGATGTTTAATGATTTTTTCATGTGTAAAAGCATGCGTAGCTTCAAGAAGTGGTTATAGATTGACTCGAGTTGTGATGAAAGGCTCTAGACCAAGATGACGTGTTCAAGAGAGGAAACCGTGCCTTTAGGGTGCTACTCTTTATGTGTTCAGTTAGCCCTTAGGAGGGAAGGGTAGAGAGAGCCCCGGGAAGGTGCTGAGTGGCTAGGGTTGTTGGAGGTGAACAGGGAGGAGAAAGCGGATTCTGGGGAACTAGGACAGAAGACGTTGTCCACAAGGAACTCATTCAGTACCTGAAGCTGTCGTATCTGTTGGAGCTGGAGCTTGAGTTCGGCCACACTCCGCCTCATGTCAAGCAGGCTCATGTGCATGGCCGAGGTGCCGGCAGGCAGGGGCTGGCTGGCTGGCCCTGAGGACTCCAGTGCGCTGACAGTCTTTCCCCCAGAAACATGGAGTGTTCCTACGAGAAAAGAGTAGCCAAGAACCTAAGCATCCCAGAAAGGAAAGTCTAAATCCCATCCCAATACAGATTACTGGTAAGTCCTTCATTATGAACAAAAATTTTTTAAGTTAGGTTGGTCCTCTAAATGGGGAAAAAAAGGAATTGGGTTTAAAATTAGGAAACATTCATGCATTGTTATAGTATGTGGTCTGTAAATGTCACATCCTAGAAGGCAGATCATAGGACAGTAGGTATAACATAATGCCACATTAAGGAAGCTAGCTAGCTGTCTGTCTATCTTTTGTCTGTCTGTCTATCTATCTTCTTTAAATACACAGGTTTGCACAGAGCAAAGATTAGCTGTACATATAACAAAGTGTTAACATTCTCTCCAGCTAGTAGTATTCCATGAGTTATATAGTTTTTATATTACTACTTTTTGTAGTTTTAAATCTGCATAGTGAGTGTGTGGATTTTTACAACAAAAATATAAATTTTTAAGCCTTTTTTAAACATTTATTCATTTTTGAGAGACAGAGAGAGACAGAGCATGAGCGGGGGAGGGGCAGAGAGAGAGGGAGACACAGAATCGGAAGCAGGCTCCAGGCTCTGAGCTGTCAGCACAGAGCCCGACACGGGGCTTGAACTCATGAACCATGAGATCATGACCTGAGCCAAAGTCGGATGCTTAACCGACTGAACCACCCAGGTGCCCCCAGAAAAATAAGTTTTTCAATTCTGGGACCTAACACAGTGCTTATATGACTACTTCCTGCAGGCAGATGTATCCTGAGAACAGGCACTTAGTTCGGGGCAGATTCAGCCAGTCACCAAGGGAAAAGTAAAAGGAAGAGGATACTCTCATGGACCTCTTCAAGGTTTTCAGACCAAAAGAAGCAGGACTCCTGCTCACATCTCCTTCAGTGAGAAAATCAGGTATGGTACAAAATTCTCTAGGAGGAGAATAAAAACAGGCAGCAGAAAGAAACTCTTCCTAAATAGTTTTCTAGCTGCCATAAACTTGTGCTCTGTGGGTCCAACTTAAACAAGCCTCGTGGATTTCATAAGTCCATCCAGGAAGGGCCTGATTCGACAAAGTGTGCTTTAGAAAATGCCTCAAAAAGGATCCCAAGTGCCACTGAGAAGATCAGCAAGGTACGGGAATCAAAAGAAAGTGCTGTTGTATTTATAGGACAGGGCAATTCTCTGGAATAGGCCTCCAGAGTAGACTCTGAATTCACATTACACACGCACATACACACACACGCACGCGCACACCATCTTCTGGTTAGCTCTCTTTTCTGCAAAGGACAACGTGGAAGGTTGGCGATAGGCTGGGCAGGCCTTCGAGGACAGAATCCTGTTGTGCCTCTGCACAGTCTGAAGTGGACGCAGCACAGGGGCCTCTCTTTCCATCTGGGCTCAGCAACCAAGGGATCCCTTCCCTCCCCAGCACACACAGCCCTGAAAGCCTCAGCGGGGCTGCTCCAGGGTCTAGAGGGCGTGCCAGTGAGTGAGGGAGGGCACAGCTGTCCTCTTGCTTGGTCTCAGCAATGCCAGTGAGAGCTGACGGCACACCAAGTTCCTCACCCCTAGAGAACCACTTTCCCAGCCCTCTCGTGGCCCCCTTGCGGAAGTCAGGATCACAGAACAGAAAGCAGCATAGGGATTTCCAAAGGAACCCCAGCAAAGCAGACAAAGAGCTGGTCTTTGTATGAGCTAACTCCTATCATCACCGGTCGTGGCTCTGACCAACTTTTGTCTGTTCCCCCTCAAATCAAAATCACCCCCAGAAGAGCAAAGTGTTCCAAAGAATATTCTCCCAGGGGCACCTGGGTGGCTCAGTCCGTTGAGCGTCCAACTCTTGCCCACACCCTTGAGGTATTTCTCCAGTGAAAACCACGCGGTGCCAGCTAGCTACCTCGCATGCGGCATTCAGAACTGCTCCGCTATTCTTCAGCCTGGGAAGGCACCCCTTCCTTCTACCTCCCCCTCTTCCCCTTACACACCGTGAGGACACCATAGCGCTCACGACCTCCTGCACGGAGGAAAAGCCGGAGACCACATACCATCTGTGAGAGTTGAATGCTGAACACGGGTTTTAAAAAGTACCTCTCACCACCAAATGTCTTTATGGAATCTCCACTCATTTGTAAAATTTCTTCACCTCTAACCTAATCCGCTAAATCTGGCTTCTAACTCCATCGTTCACTGAAATGGACACCGGTCAGGGGTCACCCCAACAGATGCTGGGCTGACATGAGATCTCCTTGGCGTGATGCTGGGCTTTGTCACTCATTTACTTCTGTTTCAGTCAGTTTTAACTGTTCCTATCCCCTTTCTCCTTACCTTTCTGCTGCTCCATCTTGGTCACTGTCTTTTCTGATTTTTTCCTCAGCCAACCCTTTAAATCCTGGTATGTTTTCCTGGGACTGCTTCTCCTCTCCCTGGATATATTTCCACCTGCAAATGTCTCCCACATCTTTGTCTCCAGCATCCAGTTATCTTCAGATGCACGTACCAATACCTTCCCATCGCTTCCGGACTTTTCCACAAGCAGGTCAAATTCATTATTTCTCTTCATCTTCTCTACACCTCTGTCTCTGTAGGTCTTATTTTAGCCAGTGGCACTATTATCCTCCCAATGATTTAAACCACAACCCTGGAAATCATTCTCAGTATCTACTTCCTAGTTGTGTGACCTCAGGTAGGGAACATGACCTCTTTCTCTCTCAGTTCCCTCATCTGTAAAATGGACAAATGGGTAAATTGTGTAGGATAATGGAACCAACGCAGGTAAACTGCTTATGCCAGTGTTTGGCGCAGACAGAACCCCCCCCCCCCC